TGTGCACAGTAGCGGGTGTGACATTCATTAGAGAATCATAGGATGTTTGGTATAAATTGTCAGTATGTTATTTTTGTCAAAGTTATAATTATAACGGATATTATGTCTCGAGTATTGTTAAGCTTACCTATTTCTTGGATAAACGCAGCGAACATATTGCTGAATTCGTTTATCGTATGTGAATAGTCTTCTACAGTATCTTTACTTTGTTTTGCTGTTCTTTACTTATTTGGTTGTCGTTTTCATAAAACTGTGTAGGAAATTACACGTAGTGGTTGTTGAAAAAGATAAAAAGAAGTACGTTATAGATCAAACCACTAAGGAGTTAATATATATAATTATGGATACAACGTTTCGTGCAATGCCCTTTATCAGGTGTCACTAACTGAACAGTAAATCCGTAAACGATAACATTCTAAACTTGTTTTCATGACTTGCTGCTACTTGTGTGAAGGTTCGTGTTTGGATCGGTTGTAGTGTTGCGCTAGATTGTCGATAGTAGTGGTATTTTTTGTGATTTCTGTATAACATTATTTGCAATCGTTGTTTGTAGTTGTGTATGTTCTTTGTTTATGTTATATTTTGTTCTTTTTATTTCTTTATATTTTTTGCAGCTTTTATCATTCGCGCAGTTCTTTATTACAGTTGCAGTATTTAGGTTTGTTGTTGGTACATGGACATTGTACAGACTTATGGTTTTCTCCACAATCCACACATCTTGCCCGAGATCTGGACTCCGCTGCAACATGTCCATATCTCAGGCAGTCGTAGCACTGTGTGACTACTAGGGTCTTAGCTTCTTCTGCAGCGTATTTTTAGTTTTACATTATGATACTATTCTGTTTGTATGTTTTATTTGTTGTCTACTGTAACTTAGCCGAGATTTGTTCCTTTTAGTTAGTGATGATACTACTTTTTGTGTTTTTGACCTGGAGAGAGGCAAATCCCTCCATGATTTGCTCAACCTTTATTTCCTGATGAACGTCCCTTACTACAAAGTTCCATTTCCAGGATTTTGGTTTGGTCTGAAATTCGCGCAAAGCTACATGAGGGCTATCTGCGCTAGCCGTCCCTAATTTAGCAGTGAAAGACTAGAGGGAAGGCACCTAGTCATCACCGCTCACTCTTTTACCAACGCACAGTGGGATTGACCGAACGTTATAACGTTCCCACGGCTGAAAGGGCGAGCATGTTTGGTGGGACCGGGATTCGAATCCACACTTCCGGGAATGTGAACATTAATACTTACTGGTTGGAAAGCATTTTGCGACCATTCTTTTGGCAGGATTGAAATCCGAGGCCTTAGCCCCTTTGATCAAAACGTCGCCTCTTGCTAATCGTTTTATTGATATTATCTTTATTTTGGCTTACATCGTTAGCCAAATGTGGTTGCCCAATATTTGAGGTTACCTATTATTATAACTATATATTTTGGATTTGTTTTATTCTTTCTTTGTTTATTTTTGTAGTCCAGTGTCGTTGTTTTTAATGTTTGCTGTTTCACAGTTCTCTAATATTTCTTGTTTACCTGTTTAGTTTTTTTGCGTGTCCCTCAATGAAAGGTAGTTGTGTCGTTTCCGTTTTGTTCTTCTACTTTTGTGTTTTATGATTGTTTCCTCAGTGTTTTTTTTTGTTTTCTCCGCATCAACATCCTCTGGTGGTTTAACCTTTTTTTTGGATAACTGTGCATTTCTATAAATTATATATGTCGGTGATTCCAGAGGTGTCCGAGTTACAAAAAAATCCAACTTTTTCCTCAACTAACCAGCATTTCACCAAATAGAATTCAGTATGACTCCAAGATTTGTTGAAAACAGAAGTCGACGAACGTTTGATGAAGCTATAAAATGTGAATACCGTAATTTCAAAATGAGGTAAACACGTGGAGAAATATAAACGCTGATGGTTTATTGTAGTTAACAATAATTTGATACTAAAGTGTATCCCTACATGGGCCTACTGATACTTTGATGCTACTAGAGTTAGCCTGCTTGAAGTTTGTTAATCAATAATTCGAATATTACAACTACGACTAAACTTTGTTATAAATACAATAAGGCATGATGGTTAGGGAGCTAGAATCAAAATCGTTGGGACCGAAACCCGGCACCGAATGTGCTTGCCTTTCAGCCATGGGGGCGTTGTAATGTGATGGTAAGTCCCAATATTATTTGGTAAATGGTAGTCCTGGAAATGGCGGTGTTGACCAGCTGCTTCTCTTTAGTCTATTAACTTTATGATTAGGGACATATGGCGCTGATAATCCTTGTGCAAAATTCAGCAAATACAGTAACAAAGCGTGATGCATTCTAATTGGACAACAGCTTTAGTATATAAATTATCTGCACTATTTTTTCTGACAACCAACGTTAGACTTATTAGTAACATCAAAATTATTAATTTTTTAAATGTAGTTTACAGGATTTGATGTAAATTCCTTTACTCACCAATGAACTTACACTTGGGGCAAAGAAAGTAAAAAATCACAAATAAGTTAATGAGGTTTAGTTGACCTGATGTGTTATTTTTGACAACTAAAACTGGATCATACAGGTTAAACGTGTTTTAATTCCCACACATTTTTGTTTCCTGTCAAATATTAGAAATTTTATTTTACAATAGTTACTGGAGCTTGTAGTCCTACTAAAAATATCTAAAACTTGTATCATGTATGAATTAATATTAATTGATAGATGGCACCAGTATATTAAAAATATAATGATGATGTACAGATATAAATTGTGGTCAATGTTGAGAGCATAACATATTTCAAATTACAATTGCAATAAAACTTTTTTTTTATTAATACAAAACAGGTCAGGTTTAAGAGTATGTTGTCTTTAACTGGATTTGTTGGTTTGCTCACCCGCAAAACATTTAGTAACAAACTAAGAAATTCTACATTGCTACAGTACAGAGACTGCATATACCATTTTCAGTACGTTAATCTCGTACGGCTCATCGCCCTACGGTGTTGTAACCTTTCAATATGTAAGTGTGAATAAGCCTTTTCAAGTTAAACATATATTGTATAGAAAATGCAGGACTTTTTGCATCTCTTATTTATTCCCAACTTCAGGGGAAACAAATGGTTTTGTCTGAAGGAAATGAATGTGCATATTGCTTCAAATCAACAACTTCCTTTCATTCATGATATATGGGTGTTGGTTAATTTACAAAATTTGGGCCAAAATGTCTGGGGTTGATTGCCATTTGTTAATCACTGTACATGATCTGGCAGGAGAGAGAAGGTATTTTGTGAACGTATAAAACGATATAATAAACCGAATTATCAAGATCATGATATAACAAGCTGAGTCAAAAACAACAATATATTAAGTAAGAAAATAAAATTCAGTCTAATATTTGTTAAGTTTCCACAATTTCCTTAATGAGTTGGATTTCATGATCTATCCATATACATCATACACACTTAGAATAACTTGTCCTAATCCAAACATTCTGTTGTTGATGCGTATTTTTTAACCAATACAATACAGACTTTATACAAATATATTTTAATTGATGAACAATTTTGGTTGCTTCAGATCTATCCAAGATATTTCTTCTTAAATATGAAACTTTGTTAAACAGATGGGAGGCGATTGGTCTGTAAAAACATTACCAAATTCCTTCAATTCAAAAATAATGTTAATAACATTTGTCTTGCACCTATTTACTGCTAAATTTCTTTCAGAGCTGCTCAAATTTTAACAGTTTAGTCTATAGAATTGTGAGGAATGGTTCCTGGGTCTTACTGTTTGGAAGTGGGGACATTTTGAGGCTCCTGGATGCCATGTCATTTGTCAGTTAGTAAAATAACTCAACAGACATTGGTGAAATAATACCACTGCATTTTCAACAACTTAACAATACAATATGGCCTAGTGGTTAGGGTGCTCAACTTGCAACCCGCAAGTAAATAGTTTTGTGATTTTTACTGGAAATAAGAGGCCTGGTTGATCACTGATGGGGGGAGGCAAGCAATTGGCTCCAAAACATACAAGGAAGTAGTGCATTATCTAATTCTTCACATAATTTTTTTACTCATAGTAATGTGGATAAATTACAGACAACCTGTCTTATATGTTCAGTTTACTGAGAGAAATAGTTTGATGTTACGATTTCTCTTGTTTGATAGGCCTCATTCAGCTTCTACAACATAAAGGTCTTTTCTATCATAAAAACACCCCTCATACAGATACAAAACATAAAAGTCCATTTTGTATGGAACTTAGTGATAAATTGAAAGTTTAAATCTAGTTCATTAACAGTATATCTAACTTGAGAAATAGCTTGATTCTGCATGTACAATTAACAGGAACCACATCAGGTTTTAAGGAAAGTTTAAAGTACATCCATTTTGCTATTCTATTCACTACATAGAATACTTCAATGATTTGTTAAGCTGAAGAAAAACTCAAAACTGGATTATATTTTATATTTCTTGTTTTGTTATTTTTTTATTGCATGTATAGATGTACTTTCATTTGAAACAATGGTATAAAATACTTTAACGTGTGTGAGAAGCTTCTTGCACAACTAAAAAATTAAAATTCAGTTACTCACTTAAGTTTCTGATTACTTAAAACTATTCCGTACAGTAGTGAAAAGAAATTAATATACTGATAACGTAGCAGAGTTAAGATTATTTTAAAAAGAAAAAAAAGACTATGAATAACAAGTACACAGACATTGTATTAGTAGAAAATGTGATTGAAAAGATAACTAGAGTCAAATAAGATTTGCTCAAACGTATCTGCAAACAAACAGAAAAAAAAACAACTTAAAAATAGTATAGATTGACCTATAAAATCTTTAAATCTGTTATTTCAACTGATCTTAAAAAACGATTCACTTCTAAGAGTTGTTTTTCAGATTGTAACAGAGTAGATGACTTATTAGTTGGCTGTAATTTAAATTACTTCAAGTATACATTGTTCTGAAATGTAATTTTTTGTGTATGCTTTGAGAATTAACGTATTTAAAGTATTCTGAGATAAGTAATACACAACAATGATTTTAATTCACACATGCGTTTTTCTAACAACGTTTTACGAAATAAATTTTTAAGCAAGATGATAATGCATATATGTATGCATGAAAAGAAAAAGGTTACAATACTATTTCTTCATGGAAAAAACTTCATTTCAAAGTTTTTCTTTGATAAATAATGGCCCTTACAGTTAATATTCAAACAGAAAACAGATGGGAGAGTAGAATTTAGTCTTAATTCTTTAATAAGCTTGTTTATTATGCAAACACTGTAAGTCATTAGCTACTAACACGTGAAGATACATCCAACTGGAAATGACCTCACTGCCATGGTGAATGGTACTTGATTTTATTCTGGCTGTATCTTTACGACTGAAACTTGTTGGTTGTTTGCTAGTTGATATATGAACTACATATATCAGTAGAAATATGGTTGTTGATAACCACCAAACTGACCATATCCTCCAAACTGCCCACTGTTAATTGTTTGCTGTCTGAATTGTGGGGCTCCCCCCATTCCTGCCGAATAGCCACCTCGACTACCACCTCTATTTCCATAGCTTCCACGAAATCCACCATCTCTTTGACCACGACCTCTGTTTTCAGACCAGCCTCCATGAGCTCTGTTATCTGAGAAGCCACCGTGACCTTTATTATCTGACCAGCCTCCTTGTACTCGACTACCTCTGTCACCACCTCCTCCCCCACGACCACCTCTTCCACTGTAGGAGCCTAGAATGGATCAACATGAAAACAAAAAAAGTAACACATTTTTGGTTACCACATAAAAAAAACTAGGTCAGTAGGTTAAGATACCTGAAACCACAAAAACATTTAATCTTAATAACCATGTAAAATTAATTGAAAAAATGCTTTGGAAATAAATGTCAAAATGTCATCTATTATTTTGACACTAAGATTACTTTAAATGTTGCAAGAACAAGAATAAAGCAATAACTGAAGTTTTCAATCTATGTTAGGGCTTCTTAAGATACAGTTGATAAGTGAATGTAATTAGTACTAATAGAAACTAGACAATATTTTTCAACATTGAAATAAGATATGAATGTTGTTTGAAGAAATCCAGTATGTAGCCATACTTCAGTAATACAGAGGCTTAAAACTTTTTTTTGTGTGTGAATGTGTATTTACTCTCAAATTCATAAAAATCTCATCCAAAATTAAACGGACAATTCAGTTTTGGAGAAATTTTTAATCTTGACTTTAGTCCAAGTTCACACAGCAAAAGATGAGAACCATACTATTATGAGTTAAACATAGCTGTCACAAACATGGGAAGTGGTGAAAATAATTTTGTTCTATATTAACTTACATTAGGTGATTCATAAATTTTGAATTTTAATTTTATATTTAACTCATCATATAATGAAGCACCACTCTTAGCCCGAGTAACATGAATTTTCCTATTTCATGCTGGGCATGATTTTATATCTTAGTGTAACTTGTTTTCACTGTTGGTTCAAATGTTTGGTTAAGATTTGGTAGGTGGGTGGACTACTCTGAGAATATTATGATTTTTTCCTTGAAACTGGACATGGGTTGCAGTTTCCAGGAAGTGAAACCCTGCTTCAAGAATACATTGGCCTGCTGACCACAAAACTTTGCCATGGCCTCTGGAATGAGTTCAGTTAAGATCTCTGAATAATATGGGCAACTTAACATGAATGCACTTCACAGACTGCTCTAACATGTAAATTGAAGCTCTTACCATAAATAACACCACCACCACAATGTTTTGCAGTTGGTACAACACAATCACAGTCAAACTGTTTACCCACCAATCACAAGGCTCATTTTCAGTCTATAATTCAAAACCAGTTGAAGCAACTCTCATCGTTTTAAAATCGTTTGTCAAGGTTTCAATGCTAACGTTCCATAATATGCGCTCTCAAGGTTTCAATGCTAACGTTCCATAATATGCGCTCTCAAGGTTTCAATGCTAACGTTCCATAATATGCGCTCTCAAGGTTTCAATGCTAACGTTCCATAATATGCACTCTCAAGGTTTCAATGCTAACGTTCCATAATATGTGCTCTCAAGGTTTCAATGCTAACGTTCCATAATATGTGCTCTCAAGGTTTCAATGCTAACGTTCCATAATATGTGCTCTCAAGGTTTCAATGCTAACGTTCCATAATATGTGCTCTCAAGGTTTCAATGCTAACGTTCCATAATATGTGCTCTCAAGGTTTCAATGCTAACGTTCCATACTATGTGCTCTCAAGGTTTCAATGCTAACGTTCCATAATATGTGCTCTCATAGAATGCAGTGATGTTAGTATAAATCTGTTGCAAATAAAGTTTAGTAATTTTCAGTCTCAATAAGTAAACATTTTTTATGCTCCAATAAAACTTTTAGCCAACTATACTGCTTTACCATACATTTTTTACCACATACAATCTTTTACACTTAAAAATGAAACATTAGTATAAAAAACTGTAACAAAGTTTCTACAATTCAGCTTACTGTACAGATCAGTGTTCCAAGGTGAAGAGTAGTATGCACTTTTGAGGATGTTGTTGGGTATCAATCAATAAAATATTTACAGTACTCTCCCACACTTAAAGCTGTGTATCTAATAAAAATTAACTACTGCAATGAAGAACTCAATGTTTTATAAAATAAATAATTAATTTTAGGATTCAAAAGGTTTATATAACAAAAAAAGTAAAAGAAAATCACAATTAGTTGTTTTTCAGAAACAAGCTGTATACTGTACATTATCTCGTAGGGTTGCAATTTCTAAACTTAACTAAAGCATAATGTGAAAAATAAAAGGGCTCTAAAACTGTTTCAATAGTTCCTGAATGTCTAGCATGAAGTTAACATTTTGCTTATAGTTAATACTATACACACACACACACACACACTCACCTCCACCGTGACCACTGTCACTTCTTTTCTGCCAACTTGGCATTTCTGGAGGTGGTGGTTGTTGTTCTTCTGGTCTTCCTCCACGATCAGGTACCTAGTGAAATAAGATGATTCATGAAAAGATTTACTTTTCACAGCTGAATGGCTACTAGAATTAATTACCCAAACAGATTCTACTCTTCATCAATTATAAATCTTGTTTCTTTGCAATGTAATATTTGGACACATTTTTTTTAAGATCATTAACTACATGAAATGAACTACATCAAGTTTTCATATTGGCTCCATATTCTCCGGCTTTAAATGATTTGTTTGTTTTTGAATTTCACGCAAAGCTACACGAGGGCTATCTGCGCTAGCCGTCCCTAATTTAGCAGTGTAAGACTAGAGGGAAGGCAGCTAGTCATCACCACCCACCGCCAACTCTTGGGCTACTCTTTTACCAACGAATAGTGGGATTGACTGTCACATTATTACGCCCCCACGGCTGAAAGGGCGAACATGTTTGGTGTGATGGGGATTTGAACCCGCGACCCTCAGATTGCGAGTCGAGTGCCTTAACCACCTGGCCATGCCGGGCCCTCCGGCTTTAAATGAAATATCTTGTTTTTCATATGAAACTCCATGGCTACGAAGACATACCATCCTATTCTTTATAGCCATGCCCACACACACACACACACACATTATACATATATCAATCTATTTTCTCACCATAACTTTAGTCTTTGGTGAGTCAGCAGTAAGTGTCTGGACATACAGTGGTAAATTCCAGGATTTTATTCCTTGTGGTGGAAAGATTGCAGATACGATGGGTAGCTTTGTGTAAAAACATAACCAACAATAACTTAAAATCTATATATTTAATAATTCTGTTTCTACTCACAGATCCAATAAGAACTTTGTTGATTGCTGTCTGGGTATTCTTTCGGACAGAAGCAGAACTTGTTTTTTCAATTATGGTCAAGTCTACAAATCAAATAAGATATTATTCACCAATTTGCTTACTGCCAAAAACTCAAGAATCCACGTATAGTGTGTTGCTACTATTTTTTTTTAGAAGCTGACAGTGTATCAAAAATCAACAAGTTATATGTAATTAACTTGAAAGTTTTAACTTGTTACAGAAACTAGCCAACATGAAGATTAATGGTGAGAAGACACTTATTGAAACCATTCATTGGTTTCACCACATCAAGAATATGAGCAAGTTCTGAATTAATTACAGATTTAATTAAAAAGAACATTGGATTCCAATTTGTTTCTTAAATTTACTCAAAACATGAAATTTGAATTGGATGACAAAGATGGGTTTACCTTCTCTAGCTGCCAAAACATCTGACAAATCAACAGCAGGCTCAATTTTCAACAACTGTCTTCGAGGATGATAAGTTTTTGAGATAAGGTCCTCCTTGCTCTGTAAATACAAAAGTTATTTAACCCTATCGCTACGGGTATCCCTTACTGTACGACACACGATTTTAGTGTCTTACATTAAAAATGTTATTAAACTACTTTTTTGTTTATGTTATACCAATTAGAATAGCATAGAATCTTCGCTAATAATTCGTATTTTAATAGCATCTAAGTTTTAAGTTCTTAATTCTACAAGGCAATATAAAAAAAAACAAACAAAAAAAAAATTTCCCATAGAGTGACACATTTTCTCTAGGTATCTTATCTCCTCTATCTTATCCACCACCCCTTGAAAAAGTTAGAAATTAAATGTAAATTACTCACTATAAAATAGTCATTGTTCCAACAAACCATATATTTTTTTTAATAGTCTTCAATTTTGTTTGGTTACAGCACTATCAAATAGAAAATCAAATCCATCCTGCCACACCCACCTGTCACATCCTTTCTTTTAGGATTTGTTAATAGTTCTCTCACATTTAATTATACAGGTTTTCATCTATCAAATGATGTATTGTATAAAATTACGTTCTGAATGCTTAATGTCAATTTCATTTAAAGTACCAAGATCGTTCCCATGAGAAGGTTAACATCTAGCTTGGATGAACTTGTAATGACTTTTGTGAAAAAGAAAAATATCTTTAACATATATATATACACACACACACACACACACACACACACACAACCCTTAAACAGTTGGTCTGCTGTATAAAACTGAATGATGAATTCCATGAAATGCCATAATATTGTTCACATACCTGAATTAATTTAGGTTACTATATGTGGAAGTAAAATGGACTCAAAACAACATAGATAATACCTTGTTTCATTTTAGTATTTCAATCTTTTAAATGTTACTCATAGTGTTTCATTTTATATGTTCAATCAGTTTCAACTTGAATGATACTAACATTTATTTTGATACTTTATTTTACAGACTACAGTAGTCACCATGTTCAGCTATAAATTGTGAAAAACACAACAAAAACTGACAAAGATACATTAGTAACCTACAATCTGACTTGTCAGAATGCCATCAGGCCAGACTAGGTAACAATATATTTGCCCAAAATATTCTAGTCAAGATAAATTTACATCTAAAAAATATACCTCCTTTTCAATAATTTACAGGTTATTTATATGAATAAATATGAGTCAGATATGAGTCACTGGAATATTTTACTGTTGATTACTGTACTCTCTAAACCTAACGAGTCTTAAGTGTTGTGTTGTCATAGAATACTTGCAGCTTTTAAACGAATATAATTCAATACAAAAACATTTTTAGGAAAAAGAGAATGTCTAAAAAAATACTACATTTTGTTGTTTTAGTATGTTCTCACTTATCCATGAAATCATAACACATTATTCCTTCTCCATTAATATCATTAGTGTATTATTTGCTCTATCCAATGGTATTTAGTTTTGACTAACTATTTTAAAAGCACATATACATTAGAAGTTGTTCTCATCACATTCTGTAAGGTTATAAAAAGGGTGGGAATAACAGGATGTCCTGATGAAAACAAGTCAGAGTATGAAAAGGACAACAACATGAGAAACAAAACCTTGAAAATTACTTTCTAAAGGAAGAGTATTTTCTTACCAAACAAAAACCTATGCTTTGAGATAGGCAGAAGAATTTTAACAAAATCAACAAGTGTAAATTTCAAAATTGTTTTCATTTTTCTTGGCACATTACACTAAATAAATGTTACAGAATGACTACATCAACAATGAAATATTTTTGAGTACACAAATTGTCGAATTATTTAAGTTTTGAAATTTAATAAGCAGGTGTTAATTGGTTCAGAAAAGGTTAAGTTTACATTCTGATGTAAAAAAATTAAGATTTTAAACTCTATATATGCTATCTTTATTTTTAAAGTATTTTACTTGTTACAAGCTGGTGACTTATTTCAGGGAAAATTATCATAAAAGACACAAACTAAATTTAAATTAATCCACCAAATACACTTTTGTGATATTGCATGTAACTGGAGCTGATATTTCAAGAAATATACAAGTGTTCATGTCTGCAAAGGAACATTACTTAAACGTTCTTTAACACACCAGAAACAAAAATGCTGTCTTTAGTCCTCTACTTTTGTGCAATATTTGTTGAAGTGAACTCATATTACAGAGACTTTTAATATATTAACATTTTGTATGATTGAAGAAACTCAGTGAAAGTACTTGCTAATGATTCCAATGTTTTAGGAACTACGATTTTTATTACAATAGTTCTTCAGTTTCTTTGTACTGTTTTTTTTTCTTTCAGAAGATAAGGTCTTTTAAATGATTATCACCAATATCAAAATATGATTTCCATGTTTCTCATGAAATTAGGCATTCATTAAAGTCAGAGAAAAACATGAACTGAAGGAAAATCAAAAAGGGAAAGCTAAAGGAAGTTACATGTAAAAAGTTAATTTTTTAAAGGCTTTTAAAAATGCTTTTGATCTTTGTTAGGTTATCGACATGTTTAAAAAAATGGAGCAAATAGTTTTGAGTCTGATAATACTAAAAACAAAATTAAAATTTCATTTATATTACCTTTAATCTGTCTGCCCATTTGAAAGACTGTATGGTTACATCTAGCCTTTTTAAAAGCACTTCTCTCCGCATCATATACTCTTCATACATTTGGTTTTGAAGTTTTTCAATAGACAGCCACTGTTTCTCTGTCAAAACTCCCATAAACAAAGGTTTTCCAACTTGATCAGATGAACACTTATTCAGTACTTCTTTGATCTAAAATATGGTGAAAAGACAGGTTTAAGCAACTTAATCAGTAGCTTAAAAAGGTTTTGTGTGAGGTTACAAGTAGCTTTAAATTACAGTTGTAGAATTTTTACAGAAAATTTAATACCAGAAGCAATAGTCAATATTTAAAAATACTATCTTATTTACAATTTTAAGTTAAAAAAAATAAGTTTTATTCAATTTACATCTCCATCATTAAAAAAGTGGACTACTTAACTGGGTTAAGATGGTGGTTTACAAAACTTTACTTGTATTAAAACATTTTTGTGAACCAAATGTTTAATAAAAGTTTTTGACATATGAGTTACTAACTGTCTTGGGATTTCACTGAATACTATCATATTCTAAGCTCATTTTCAAAAGGGACAAAACATTTTGAGAACATTACTGAAACTTTGTTTTTATTAAATGCAAAGGGCTATCTATGCTCTTCTCACCCCAAATACTGAAACCAAATTTTAGCATTCTAAGCCCTTAGACTTACTGCTGAGCCACACAAGGGTGGGGCATTACTGAAACTACACAGTTATGATAGGACTGAACCTGCGTACTGTTGTTAACATTAAACATATGTACCTTAACCCCCTTAGATAGGTTAAAATGGACACATGGTTTATTTTATATTTCTTTATGTGACTGATTGAAGTAAAGATGATCAGTGTATGGCCCAAAAATTATTACTGTACATTAGAAAAAATGCACAACATTACATATTCTTCATGTTTCTCTCAACAACTTCATCATGCTTTTTAAAATATTTACATCAAACTGAAAGTACTATAACTGAAACAATTTAACTTTATATGAGCACCTTAGATCAGTAGATTCTGAGTTCACTAGTATATTTGTGTGTATTTGAGGGATATACTTTTGGGCCATTGCATCAGCATGTGTGTGTATTTTGGGAAGGTTGTGTCAGTATATATGCAAAACATTGTTGGTATTTTCCATTAGTAAGTATGATAAAAGAAGCTTGGTAAAGTCATTAAAGTTTAGTTAACATAGCTTCACTAGGAGAAAATATTGCCTTAGTAATTTTCACATTCTTTGAAGAAGTTACTGCTTATCTAGATGAGGGTAAGAGTTAATTTGGTCTGTCTGGATTTTCAGAAAACATATGAAAAGGTGCTACAAAAAAAGGCTTGTTAAAAACAAAACAAAAAAAAGTTTATGCAGGAGAATAAGTTTGGTCATTGAACAAAAAAGTGGCTGGGTGTAAAAAAAGCATAAGGTTGTCATAAATGAAGTTCAGTCACACTGGATTAATGTTACAGGTGGGGTACCTCAGGGCTCAATGTTAGTACATTTTCTCTTTTTTGATTTACATCAATGATGTATATGTAGGAATAGTCAGTAAGTTGCTGATGATATTAAGGTCTTGGATGTTGCTGGCTTTCATGGAGATGTTGCTGCTGCTTTAAAAAAGGGTTTAGATTATTTGGTGAGTTAGATGGCAGATGGCTTTTAATTACAATAAATGCAAGATAATGTATGGGGATTATCATAATTTAAGTTACAGGTAGTATTTTGATGGGAATAACCCAAACAATGTTATGGAAGGAAAAGATATTGGAGTTTTGGTTGACCAGTCTTTTACGCCATCCAAGCAGCGTACTGTTGCTAGTGGCAAAGCAAATAGGATTTTAGGTTGTATTTACAGAAATAATGAATACATGTCTAAAGATATATTTTCATTTTAGAGGTCACCAGTTAGGCCTCATTGTAGTATTGTAATCAGTCTTGAGCTCCTTACCTTATGAAGGACATTGAAATGTTGGGAAGGGTTTAAAGGAGGGATACAGAATAATGCTTTAGAAGGAAAGGTTGTCATACCAGAACCGGTTAAGAACTCCAATATTGTTTTCTTTTGAAAAAAAAGAAGTTGGAAGGGATCTGACTGAAGTGTTTAAGATTGTTAAGAGAATTGATAATGTTGATGGATCTTCTTTGTCATACTTAATAGTAAGAATAGCAAGACAATGTTAAAAAAATATAAATTTGAGCATGGTAGGAGTCATCTTCATCTAAAACAGTTTTATTTTTCTAACATGGTGGTTGGTCTTTGAAATAACTTGCCTTCTGATGTGGTGGATGCATAAAATATAAGGGATTCGATGACGAGGAACCCACTTTGAGACTAATAATGGTTGGAAACGGCTTGAATGGGTACCTAATGATGACAAAACCTTGTCGAAATGTTGTACATTTGCTGTTAAGTTAAACTTATATTAAAATTTTTCTTCATTACCCATTCAAGCCATCTCCAACCATTAAAAATATAAGGGAGTTTAAGGGAAGGCTAAATAAATATCCAAATAACAAGGTCTGGCTCTGAGACTAATAATGGTTGGAAACGGCTTAAATGGATACCCGATGATGACAAAACCTTGTCGAAATGTTGTACATTTGCTGTTAAGTTAAACTTATATTAAAATTTTTCTTCATTACCCATTCAAGCCATCTCCAACCATTAAAAATATAAGGAAGTTTAAGGGAAGTCTAGATAAATATCCAAATAACAAGGTCTGGCTCTGAACTATTTTTTTTTAAAGTTTAGTTTCATGGATGTGGTACCCTTAATGGACCAACAAGCCCCTTGTTATTCTTAAGTGTTATGTGTGTTACTGGTGGGAGTTTCCACTACTTTGTGCATGTATTTCTGTTGGGAGTTTAAACTACTTTGCATATATACTTATGTACTACTATTTGGTGTTTCTACTAATGTATACATACACTTATGTACTACTAATTAGCATTTCCACAAGCGTGTATTTTTACTTACATATTATTATTGGGTTTTTCACTAGCGTGCATCTATACTACTAGGTACTACTTTGGTGTTTCCACCAGTATATGTTAGTGTGATATTTGTTATAATATTGTAAAACTACAGGTAGATTATCATGATGAATTAAATACATTATAAAGAAAAAATCATACACACACACACAAATAATTTTACCAGTCCGGAATTAATATCCTTAATGTAGATATATTGACGATTTAGTTGGTATTAATTATCCAGTAATAAGTAATTACATAGATAACAGTTATCCTGCAGTTCAACAGATTGAGAACACCTCTATATCAGATACTGAAGTACATTATTTAGATTTAGAAATTAAGATAATTAATAATTGTTGTAATATTAATACTTGATACATGATTTCACATCTCAAATATATGGACTCCTCCCTTCAAATAGTAATGTACCAACAAATGCCATACAAAATATTATACATTCACAGCTTCTTAAATATTGTAAAATTTGTAGCAATATGAATCTTTAATACGTAATATAAATATATTAGTACAAAAACAGATTTTTAATGGTTCTGATGAAAAAAAAGTCTTAAAATATTTTAAATTACTTTAAAATACATATAAAAATATTTACATACTTTTGAAAATAATGACAAATAAAATTATAATATACACAAAAAATAATTTCTAAGATTTATTGAGGGGAAATAATTAGAACTGCTTACATGGACAATTTTATATCTTACATAGTGTGACTAATGTAGTTGTATCACCTTCCCTAGAGATGACCAGCTACTGTATGGCTCTCTGATAGTAGCACGGAATGGTGGAGATGGGAGCTATACTAATAGTAAAAGGTTAGGCTTAACATAGTAGTACCTAACCATCTTTGTATTTATGTTGAAACATCATACTGGGGGGATAGAATGCTAACTTTAAGGATAGTTTTGCTGTCTCTCCCATCGATATGCACATTATTCCAATTATGATATTTTTTACTGTTTTTTTTGAGTAACCACTTTCCCACTTCTTGCTCCAGACATCTGTTCCTTTTCTCTTTCTTTATAAGCATGTAAAACCAGTGAAATTGAGGGTCAACTGGACATACATTGTACCCCCCCCCCCCAATGCATTTTGGGCCTTACTTCTATTGTTACAAAAAAAAAACAGGGCACATTACATAATAAAACACCCTATGATTTATGCCTTCATGTTGGATATTTATTTTGTGGCTGCATTTTTATTTTTTCAAGTATATTTTCATTTATTTATTTACTTATTTTTTTCTAATTATATTTCATCTAAGGTTTGGATATGCTATGTAAAATTTATGCTATCTTTCCTTTTGATGTAATCTGTTTAAAACATTTTTTATGTAGCTTACTTAAATACTAATAAATATTTGAAAATCATGCCACAGGTGATAATAAAGCAATTACATAATCACTGAATTTTGCACCTGCACATGACAACAGATTATACAAAGCTTGTAATTTGCCAATTTACAACTTTTAGGCTTATCTTAGCTATAAAAATTAAAAAATAGTGAACTTTTGAAATTGTTGGTGTCAAGAAAAACTAAATTCAACAATATGCATATTTTTTTGTTATAACTTTCTGCTTTTAAAGTTATAAAGATCATAAACATATCTGAAATCTCGGATTATTTTCTTTCTCAGATTTAATTGCCATGGAATTTCCTTGATTCCTTACATAGGTACATAAGAAATTAAAAGTTGTTACAACACTTCAAGTCAAGTGGATGTGTCTATAAGCAGTATGTGAGTTTTTACTTTCATTTAGAGGTATTCTGTTGTTTGTTAGCCACAGAAAAATAATAAATTAACTTAACGAGTTTACCTGTGTTTGTTTATTTTACTGAAGCAATTGTCTTGACTGTTAATTTTTTGTATATAACAACTTTAGTTTTGTAACTCGAGTCTAGCACTAAGCTAATAATCAATGCTAGCATTATAATTTGCCATCAGTCAAAGGTAAGTGACTAACTGGTGTTAGATCTTTTTGAGCATGTTAGATACTTATTGCCTGAATGTAACAAGTTTTATGTATAAAATACAGTGAGATAAATACTATATATTTACATAAGATTTAATACTTTAGACAATTTTTTATTGCTCCATTTCTTTCAACAAAGAGGTGTAGCATGTGCATCACTAGATTACTTACAAGTATCAATACTAACTATCAGTTAAGCAGTTGCACAATGCAAGCATAATGGTGTAGTAAATAATTAAGTGGTGGTTGATTGTATCATAAATCACAAATTGACAAAATAAAAAAATAAAACTTATATTTCAAAAGGTGTCATTGATATTGTCATGTATTTGAAATGTCCGTGTTTCAGGTTCAGTGGCATTTATGAGTTATCAATATAAAAATAAACAAAAGAAATACCAAAAACCTGCAGTCAAATAGTTAAGGACTATATAAGCATGATGACAAATTCATCAAAATCTCATTTCTGAGCAACTCAACTATGTTTACAGTTAAGGACTACATGAACCTAGTATCAAGTTCCTCAAGATCCTACCCTAGAACAACTATATTTACAGTTAACCCTCTACTTACAGGTAGGTCAAAGTATGTATGTTACAGCCTTTTAGACAGTTATATTCAACATTTAATCAAACTACTTCACGTTCATTGTATATGAATAAATTTGACATTAAAATGTAGTTAATGAATCAAATTTTAATATTATATAAGTTTTGAGTTCTTAATTTTATAAGGAAATATTTAAATATATCCACAATCTCTCATAGTATGAGAATTGTGACTTTTGTTCTCTAGGTCTTCCCTCTTATCTAATTTATTTAATACCCAACTAAGTAGTATGAAATTCAATGTAAATTACTCATTAAAATACAGGTATTGCTAACGCAAAGCAAAATTTTTTACAGACTTCAATATTATTTGTTTATGGAATTATAATCTAGAAAATCAGACCCACTTGCCACATCCTCTCTTTCACAAACTGTCAATGGTTCTCTTTGATGATTGTACTGTTATTTATAACCAAAAGAAAGCCAAGGTTTTAATCTATCAATGAGATATTATATTATGTTGATTTTGGTACAGATTATTGTCTATTTTATCTCAAGTTTGAAATTGTCTCCTGAAGTTTTCTGATTGAAAAGCTTAAGGTAAGATTTAAAGGCTCTTATGCTAAAGTTAAAAAGCCAAAGAAATTATGATAGCTATAGGACATTGTTTCCTTTGTGTATGTTATTATTTCATGTTCTCAGGTGAATTATTTAAGTAAATAAAAATTATTTAGTGTACTAACATCATTAAGATAAAAAAAAAGTAAGCTTAAATTTCATCAGCAGCTGACAGCAAAAGAATAAGAGGTCATAGGTAAGTGATACATTCCCCTTGTTTTATAAAATGTATTATTTATTGATAAAAAAGTAACTAAAATGTAAAAATTAGAAACTTGTTAGGTTAGATAAGCTTAAATCAAGTAAGATAATGAAAAAAAAAAAAGTTTCACAAGGTATGCTCATAAGCAGCTCGAGCATTACGTAATTCTATATGGTAACATGAGATACCCAATCACCAAGTGATTTACAACTAGTGTGTTGGGATTATTAGTCAGACACAGGTCAAAGGGCAATAAAATTAAGTATAAATAGAAGTTTAATTTTACAAGCTTTAAGCTATTTAAGATAAACAATAGTAGTTTCATATTACAATTTGCAATCATTCTAGAAAAAAAAAGGGTAATTTAGATTTATTACATATCTTTTATGGTAGTTAAAAAGTCTATGAAATTGACTGAATGTGTACGTAGTTAGGATAGAGAAGATAACAGATAAAATATAAAGTTCCACTGAAAAAAAAAAGTTTGATATTTACTTGCGTGGTTTTTGGAGATTATGTAAATGAAACGTTACAATATTCAGATGAAGAAAGGTATTTTTAATCTTAACATGAAAATCACTTTGATTTGGAGTAGTCATCACTGTGACTCCTTACATTCAAGGACAAACTTTTAGCCAAAATACTTAATTAAAAAAATTATATCTTGTGTATAACAGACTTGTAATGTTTATTGAAATCTTGCCATAGTTCATGAAGATACACAAAACATATTCAAAGTTCTAGTATGAAACTGATGGTCACTTTGGAGTCGCAAGGTTGGTATATCCTACTGAGCCCATAGCGAGAGGGTATCAAGTTCACCAAAATCAAAACTTGATCAACTGAACTGTATTCAGAGTTATGGACTACACAATAAAAAATCTAGTAACAAATTCATCAAAAGCTTACTTTTCAGTAATTTGGCTATATTCTCAGTTAAAGAGTAAAGTATTATTAAGGCTTTAGCCTACAAAAGTTAAATTATATTCAGAATTAAGGACTACGTGATAGAACTACGCACGTATTGTTTTACCGTGAAGAATGGTATAGTTTAAACCAAACTCTGTAAGAAAAATATCAAAAGAATTATATTATGACAATGTTTATACATGTAAAATGGAATTAAAAAATAAACTCTCCTTAAATCAAAAGATATTTACTTACCTTGGTTTCTGCTTTAGTGAATAACATGGCAGATGTGATATTAATAGGAGGCTTTCCAAACCCTAGAGCTATCAGCATGGCTTTCATGTCTCCAGCAGTAGAGCTTTCTTGCTTTAAAAATCAAGAATGGTTTTAACTTCTATTGCATGATGTTTCTGCCTTACTTTTTGACATATATGTTAAGATATGAATTTCATTACAAGATAAACATATCGTATTTATGGACTACTAAATGTGACATTAAAACCACCACCATGGCAATTATTATACAATTTTTTCCTAGTAATGCCAGATTCACTTAATGAATCACTGTATTATTTAATACAGCTCATGGTTACCTTAATTTTATCCATTCATATAATATCTTTTAGAAATAAGCTCCAAATGTAGTTACGAAGCACAATGATAAATTTTCTACATGGAAAAACAGCTAAGTGTACAGAGTTGGATGGATGAATCTAGAAGCATCACATATTTAGAGGGAAATACAAGATATTAAAATAATAATAGTAACAGCTGCATAATAAGTTAACCCTTTTGAAATGGTACATGTGCATTGCACCTATCACATATGGACAATGATAACAATGGAACAATACATATAATATTCTTACTAAATCTTCATGAAAATTGGTAAAATGTTAAAAATTACACGTATTTTGTACACAAAGAACAAAATTATTTTAATTAATTATTTCTACTAAAAATTTATTTCTTTTTTGTAAGTATTTGCACTCAGATTCTGAATAGTTCGAGTGTAAGGTGATTTTCATGTTAAGCATAAAAAAAACTTTTCTTCTTGCAGATTTCAAATTTCATTTGCATAACCTCAAGAACCTCCAAAATGAATATTTTTTAAGGAAAATTTTTAAATTTCATTTTTCATTTACTCTACATAACATGCAATAAAGTGTTTAAAATTAAGAAATAAAAATATGTACATACCTTTTAATTTTATGTTTTTACCTTTTCACATAGTTCATTTTTAATGTTTTATCTTTCTTTCCAGTCCTTTACTGTTTATTATTCATCTCACACACAGGAAATATTACAGTATTATCAGCAGATGCTTTAGCCTTTGGCAAAATGTTCTTGCATTCATGTGCTAACCCAACCCTCATGAACTGAAGATAAGTTTGGGTTATATTAAACAAATTATTAAACCTTTCAAATATGCATTTTAGAACATAAATACTAAATAATTAACTAAAAAGTAAAACCTAAATACAATTGAACTGTCTATCTAGCTAATATGTATCTAGGTAAAAACAACCGAAGGTGCTATTGAGAACAAAGCAGCAAATAATACTATTGGCAGTTAGACATACTTGATAACAAATACTACACACTAATTTTAAAATAACCATTACGAAATTGTGGTTTGAAATGAGCTATTTCTATTGATTATAAACATGTACATCAAATAAGTAGATGTGGCTTGTAAATATGAAGTCTAATACAGAAGGTAGATATGGCTTCTGTCAGGAAGTGGCAAAATTTTAAATATTGTGGACATTGAATTGTGCCAAAGAGCTTTGAAACAAGCACCTGTAAATAGCACAATAAGCATAGATTATGTCTAGACATACATTTACAGTGTAAGTCTAGTATTATTCAAGTCATAGAAACCAAAAGTTAAGAACTGTAAACACTCGTGTGTCACAGACAACAAAACTGAAGTATTTTTTTTATAAAGGTTTCTTTTGAAGAATTTTGAAGAATTAAAACTTAAATTTAAAACTTTGAATTATAACATACATTATAATGTCAATTTCATTAAAACACAATGATAATAAAGTTGTTTAATTAAATTTTGAATGTAACTCAGTCAAATCTTGTGACAAGCATAGAAAAAAAATACCCATATAGAAACGATTAACCACAACAATATAAATTCTGTTGGCCAATTAGAAATTTATATGCATAATTAAAGAGAAAATATAATTATACTTAAGTGTAATAAAAAAACTATCAGAAAGTAAATGTTAATGTTTTCCTTACTTGAAAATGTATTTGATATATACCTCCTCATACAGTATTATCTATCTTCCTCCGCTTGTCATGAATCTGCCAAAGAGATCTGCATACCACTAGTCTTGAGGCAACTCCCACCTAATTTCATGTCATCATGCAACAAAAGCCCTCCACCAATAGGGGGTGACACATTTCCATGCACAATAACCCCCCTTATGTATTTGCTCTCACGAAACTTCATTCTTCAACAAGGCAATTAGGAAATGTGTGCACTGGAAGTGGGGAGGATGAGTGGGAATATTCATGTGAGGAGGTGAGTAGATATTGGAATTACATTTTTCAGGTAAGGATAATGTTAACTCCTGAGATATCTCACCTTCTCACAAAGTTTTAACTAGAATCCCACAATGAAATAATTTACATAGATAAGTCCCTTCAGAAAATGTCCAAGTGAAGGAAGTCCATGGGGTGCAACACCCGATGACAGGGACACACCAATGGGAAACTGCATCTCATTTCATCTGGGATGTACTCCAACTATATAGGAAAAGGGAAGAGGCAAAGAAGCCAGAGTGTGTCACAGAGATGGGTAGAATAGGTACATAAGATAACCAATATGTGTAATAGGGTTGGGGTTTGTTTGGACTGTATCTTGTGTTCTCACCTCAACTTTTCCATCAGACTCAACGGGTCAAACATCAGCTGTGAGAGGAGGGTATGTCTGATAAATATCCATGCTCATCTCAACTCTACCATGAGACTGATTCCAGATACAGGTGGAGGACACACCTGGTATGTATTAAGAACCAGTATTGAATGTGGTAATCTTGAATTTACTGAACAGACAATGGCTGCAGGAGGAGGACATGAAATATAGTTATTGCTTCTGTACAGTGAGTGCTCAACTCTACTCAAATGAACAGATTTTATGGGATATACTATCTGGAGGAGGAGAGTACTGTATCATGCAGCATCAGTCTATATGTAGTGAATTCACACCTCAACTGTACTGAACAATTTCTGGTTATAGTAGGAGAACAGAATTATGTATTGTGTGCTCATCTCAACTCTAGTAAACAGGCTATAGCTGCAGGAGAAGGGCACAGTCATTTATTGTGTGCTAACCTCAACTCTACTGGACAGACTCAGGCTGCAGGCACAGGTGGCATGAGTGATGTATCTAAGTTACATGACGAGCGACTCACACTACACAAATATTGTCACTACTCACCATAAATGTACTCCTTGTTTTAGTCCCAGCAGATGAGTTCCAATTGGTGATGGTTCTCCATGCTCCACCATCCCAGCAACTAGGAACTGGTAAGTGGCAAGGGTCGTCTGCACTCCACTCAACAACATGGGGATGTTGGGGGAAGAGAATTTGAGTTGAGGAGACACAGAGAAGGTGCCTGAATCCTCATCACTCCTTCAGCCCAGAAGGGTTCTTTATTGGGAACAGTGCAATGCGTGACCACAAAAACCTATTTTTAAAAGCCAGCATGTACAATCCAGAGAAGTGAGCAGAATACCTCCTTAATGGTGGCTTTTTACATGATAGTTCATGGAATATGTGCAGTCTGGATTGGATAATAGAGTAAATATAGATATACAGCAACATATACCAAGAAGTTATCTGAAATGGTGTTGCAGAACACCCCATTTCACCGTGGGTGTACAGGTACAGTTGCAGCAGATGGTAAGAGTGCTTTCCATTATTCTGGCTCAATGAAGACTTTGGGCAAGTATAATCTGGAAGACATCACCAACCACCTGCTGGGGTCCTTTAGAATGAAAGAGGGGTCAGAAAAAATATTATGTATACCTATCAAATACAGTGGGTAATTGAAGACTGGTAACCTGTGGAAACCAAAACCATCAGGAGAGAAAACAACCAAAAGGTGTAGAAAAGGAGATAAGAAAGGTGGCAAAAGGGTCCAAGAGGGGCATATCCAACCAAGAGTAAACTCTGCAACTCTACTGATAGAATACAGGCTAGCCAAAGAAAGCAGTCTGTCAACAAGATTGAAGCAAATGATATAAACAGCCTCAGACATGTATGATTAATGCCTAAAAAACAAAAAGCCTTGAGACAGGAGCCTCAAGAACAGTTGGAGCAAAGAAAAACTGTGGAATAAACTAAGTGAAACATGATCAAGTGAACCACCAGTAGGTGCAGAAAAGAGAACATGCCTGACAAAGAGAGAGAGAAGGTCAATCACATTGACGTGGAGTAAACCTTTGTCCACCATTGAAATGTTGGAAAAAGTACTTCAATAAGAAGAAGCATCAAAGATTGGAAAAATGTGAGAAAGGCAGTAAGGGAATGCAAGAAGTAGGCACCATGACTAGCCCTTGAGGAGAGGTTCACAAAAAGAGGACAAAGGACCCCAAGAAAGAAAAATCACATAAAAATCAGGTAAAGCATAATTTTTATAGCCTTCAAATTTATTTGGTTACAGGGCCATAAACTAGAAAATCAGATCCCCTCTTGCCATGCCCACCTGTCACATCCTTTCTTTGACAAATTGCCAATAGTTATGACATTTAATACTATACTATTTATAACCAATAGAAAGCCAAGGTTTTAATCTATAATGTATATTACATTGTTTCTGTAAAGAGATTTGTCTATTTCACTTCCAGATCAAACTTTATTCCCATGGGAAACACATCAGTGAGCTTAGTTGAATTTTTAACGACTGTTGTCACGAAATTAGAAAGTCAGCAAAATTGTGATAGCTATAGGGCATTGTCTGCATTTTGAATGCTACTATTCTGTGTTATATGGTTTATTATTTAATTAGATAAAAAACTATTAAGTACAGTAATACCATTAGTATAAAAAAGTAGGGTTAAATTTCATCAACAGTCAACAGCAAAAAATAAATAAAAGACCCAGGTAAGTACTATATTGTTTTTCACATGTAGTCTTTATTAATTATTATAAAAGTAGCTAAAAATGTAAAAATTAATTAGAAACTTTTTTAGGTTAGATGAGTTAAAATAAATATTAGTAATAATTTTTCATGAGGTAAAACAATAAAAGTTACGAGTTTAAAGCTATTTAGGATAAACAAATGTAGCTTTGTGTTACAATTTGAGTCATTCTACACACACACACACACACACACACACACACACACACACACACACACACACACACAACAAACAAAAAAAAAAGAAATAAAAGAAAAGAAGTAAAAGGTAATTTAGATTTTATTTGGTGGTTACGAGGTAGTTCATATTGACCAGCTTTGTCTAGAGTTAAAATACAGTTTTGCTGAAAACAAGGGTTGGAAATTTATTTTGGAGGGTTTAGAGATTATACAAATGAAATTTGAAATTTTTAGGATGAAGAATAGTATTTTTAATCATAACATGAAAATCACTTTGCACTCGTACTAGTAACGAAACAGACTTGATATATTCACAAACAAATCTTTAGTAATTATACTTCATTAAAAAAAATCTGATTTTTTGTCTATAAAAGTCTTGTAATGTTTCCCAAAAGTCTACCATATTTTGTAAACATATACATACCATATTAAATGTTATAGTATAAATACTTAACAAGTGCAAATGTGTATATGGACTTGGTATTTTATACTGAGCTCGTTGTGAAAGGGTTGATATGTTATAAAATGCAACAGAGGAATTTTCTTTTACTTACCATTTTTACCTGCATACCACTGTTCTTTCCCCCACTGTACACATATATCATTCGAGCTGCTTGGAGTTCAGAACAAAGAAAATCTACAAGAAAAACATTCCATTTTCAAGTAAGTAAACTTATCTTTTGGATTACATTGTGAATTAAAACAGTAAGATAATAAAAAAAAAAATTGTGGTAAAACTTGCTCACATATACTAAAACTTCATGATCCAAAAACAAAATAATTTTTGATATTACACATTGTTTTGTATGCTTATTAAACTGAGTTTTCATGGATGAAAATCTATTTGAATTAATACAAGTTCTTAAGTTAAACTAGTGAAACTATGATAAATTACTAGTTCTATATTAGTATATTACAAGTACATTTGCTACATTGTAGGTGAAAATAGTTAAGCCTTACCTAAAAGAGTAAGTCTACTCTCTTTTGTTAGCATCCTCTGACTAAGAGGTCCTTCCATCATTGACTGATATGGACAACCTGTTCAGGTGAAAAGCAGGTGAAAAACCTATGTGTGCACATATATACTATACATGCCATTTTCCCATGTTAATTATTGTTACAATATTACTTAACCCCTTACCTACGAGGGCCATTATGTTTTATTGTAAGGGCAAAATCACATTTGTGAACTGAAAAAATTATTGAGAACTTATCTTTTATTGGATTTCAGATTCTATTTTTGTAAACAGTATCATAATATTCAATTATCTGAACTAAATTGTATTATTTAATGAAGTTTGACGAGAAGTTTAATAAAAAAAATCCCAAAATACATTTGAGACTATAAAGAAGTGCCCTCTAAGAAAATTAAACATTTCAACATTTTTTCCCTTGTACTTTAGTGCTGGTTCTGCCATCTATGATTGATATCTAAACCTTTTTCTAATCTGTCTTCTTTATAAAACAGCGCCTGAGCATATCAAACCTCAGTTGTAAAACATTTAGCCAATCATAGTCAAAGGTGTCAATTTCAGTACCATGTTATTCCAATCGCTGTATTTCACTTTTCACAAATCATAGGATGATAAGCAAAGCAGATGACGAAACGCTGTTCTCTGGATGTTACAATATGAATGTGGCTGGTGCTTACTATAATAACTGCCATTTTATGTAGAGGTTGTATTTAGTATTGGTCAATAGTACTTTTCTACAAGCCTTAGAAAACTTGCTTCTGGAAAAAACTGCATGGGATATATGTGACATTTATTATTTTTTCTATAGTAGCTTAAATCATGCTATTTCACATATCTATTTATATTAATCACTATATTGAAAAATCAACTCAAAATAAATATATTTTTAGGAAAGAAGTTGATCCACAAATGTTAGGGTTAAGATCTATCAAGTGGCCAGTGAAAGAGTTTGTGGTTTTTATATTCTTTAGCATTTAAATTAGTAGTTTTAAATTCATTAATTTAGCGCCAATTTATATTTAGTTCATAATAAAAATATGATTCAGTATTTCGAATGATAACCTTGTGTCATTTGTATGTACTACTAGTACCACACCATGTAAGAATTATATATTTTTCCTTCTTCCTATCTTTTCTTTGTAGTAAGACTCACACTTCTGTTGTTGTTACTTTATAATTAAAACAGTAACTGATACATAAAAAGCTTATTCTGATATTTTGCAAAGGGTTTAAAACTCACTGTACAAGTGACAACAATAAAACCCATATGTTGGTTGTGAAACAGACTAAACACATTCCTCTCAATAATACAGAGAACCTGCGACATTCTTACAGTTGGGGTATCAATACACTGAAGAGCTCAAGTTTCGAATTCCAATATAAATTGCCTATAATGAAAGGAATGTGACCAGGACTAATCTTTTAAGTGCTGTAAAGTAATTTTCTTTGTAATTTATGGTGTCTGTATTGTTTGGTAATCTCTTCTAACAGGATGTATCAAGTAAATAGGGTCATGCAGTGTTATTCAAACCACCTGAACTGTAAACTGTTAGTATTACATACATTTGCTAGTAGTGGTAATTAGTTTTGTCCGTATAGTGAAACAACATACAAAAACTTGTGTTGAAATAAACTTGTTTGAAAGTTCAAAGAAATGATGTTCAAGCTTTCTTACTATCATATCTACAATAATGTTCAAATGTGCCTGTGCTGGACTGAATGAAAGTGACCCCCAATAGGAGTGATAGTTTGCAGCAAATGTATGAAGTTCATGCTGCTAACTTCATGATTTTTTCAGCACAATAAATAAAAGTACAGCTGCAATGAAACAAACTTGAAATAAAAATACATTTATGAAAGAAAATCAAAATGTTTTTTTATGTACACATATAAACATGAAATCCTATTTAAAAATAAAAAGATTTTCATTATTTGTTTAGGTTTACTTAGAAATATTAATTTCAGTCTTGTATATTACTTGAAACAGTAAGGAGAGTACGTGTTTATTAAATATCAAAAATTGACAAAATTTGCATTTTATGGACAATAAAAATTCTTTAGAGAATTTAAAATAATGTACTAAAACAAAAGTAAGAAATTCAAATCTGGGACACATATAAATATAGTAATGCAAAAAAACTATATTTATCAAAAGTAACATATTTTATATTTCTTAAACTACATGCCTTTCTGAAAGTTCTTATGAAGTTTCAAACAATTTCATCCACTAGTTTTATTCTTGGAATGAAATATAGCAAGACTTGCATTGTCTATACAGAAAGTTAGTAGCCAGTAGTAATTGGGTTAATAGTTGTAACATTTTTAAAGTAGTTTTTGAACCTTATTTATTTTTAAATTTGTATTTTCAGATATAATTTATATGCTCCTACATTCATGTAAAATCTCTTACCTATCTGTTATTGAATTATTTTTGTGATGAAAAAACACTATCTTGTCTATTAAAAACTTGCACATTTCTATCTTGCATTAACAAGTAGTCTAAATAACAACAGTAAGTTCATTCTATATTAACATAATTAAGAGTAACAATCAGTGAAGTCTAATTTTATATACAGAAGAAAAACTAATAATAATAAAAAAAAAGCTGGCTAAAAGTTCAAAACAGTTTGAAACTTACCAACTTCTTTCAGAAATGAGCTCAACTCCAACATGAATGAACTGGCATCTTCTGGATCTGTTAATACAGTTTTTCATGATAAAGAACTATAACGTTAAACATACAATAGGAATATTATACAGAAATATATTAATTTTTGATGCAACACATGGTTTTATATGCTTATTAAACTGAGATTTCAAAATGACTTTTACTTCCAATTATCAACATGTGCCTTAATAGAGTAGCTCCAAAGTCACAAATAAAATAAAAATAGAGAGAGAAGCGTGAAGATTAATTTGTAGAAAAAAAAATTTAACAAAAATTAAATACTATAATCCACGTATAGTTATTAACAGTCAATATTTGAAAAGTTTGTAGCACCAAAACCTGATTAATGAACTGGAACACAGAGAATAGGCTGAAGCATAATCTCATTTTGGTAATGATGTTTCTAAATTTTGGAGCTCCAAGGCCTAATGGGAGAACTAGAACATATAACAGACTGCAGTAAAACAACAATGAAAGTTTAATCTGGTTTTAGTCTGAGACTTGTCCTCTTGAGCTTTTTGTTAATACAGGTATAAAAAAATAGAAAAAATATGCTAAAACAAAGCAAGTTCTAGTGGAAAGACAACAATACAAGTAGAAGCTCTTTAAAAGAAAGATTTAAAATCTAACCAGGTTTTGTTTGAACCACTGATTGGACAGTGTATGTCATACGTTTTTTGAAATTTGCATTTAAATAAATTTCTAAATTGGATTACAGAATTTTCAGCTTATCAAAGCATAGCTCTATAGAATACAGAACGAGAAGAAAAAATTGAAATTAGAAATTGTATTACAATTTTCCTAAACACAAAAGCTAGCTCAATGTATACCCTACCATTTTCATTTAAAAGATAAGACTTTCTCTGCCTTTCAACTTTAAGTATTTAAAATTAATTTTAGTAACAGCTACAGCAGACTTTTTGATATTTTTAAAGAAACAATATGATTATTTCCACCTCTATTATAGGCTGATTCTAACTTTCATTATATCACAGTGGCTTTCTGTATGATAGTATCCAAAGTGAAGATGGAAAATGTGTGTATGAATCAATAAAACTGAAGAAAGAGCCTTTTTTCAAGTGCAATATAAATGTAATCTTAATTCATTTAATATAAATACTTTATGCCTATTGTAATGTGACAGAAGCTTGACAAAACTTTTAATAATAAAACAATTATTCCTTATAGATGTTAATCATAAAACCATGAAAGTCTTACATACACTATTTTCAATGGTAAATTAGTGATTGAGAACTGTCACGACTTTCTCAGGTATACCTTAATCAAAATTAAGTAGAATCCTGAAATCATTAGGTAAATAAAAAAAACTTTTAATAAAATCATATTTTCCCAAGATATAAAATTGATAGTGCCTAAAGTAGGGCATTGGTCAAGTTGTTTATTCTGGCTAACATTCTGAGAGATGTTGAGCTAAGTTGTCTGCATCACCAAATAATATTTCTTCTGAAAGACTTATTTACTGTTGTAAAAAATCTTACCATTTATAGCATTCACATGTTCTTCCAACTTTGACAGAACTTTTAACTCATTTGACAACCATGCTATGAGCTGGGTAAACTCGACAGACTTCGGACCTCCTTCCAAAGCTTTCTGTAGACCATCACTCTCTAGCAATGGTCCAGAATACCTGTTCAGATAATTTTCAAAATATACAAGATATTATGATAATAGTATTTCTAAATTAGGCTACAAGAGAAACTACTTCAAACACTTTTAAATAAATAAGTATCCCAATTAAAAAAAAACATAATTATTCATCACTCTACAAAAAAAAAAAATCTGACAATTAAAAAGTAAAAGAAAACACTGTACCATTTACAGTATTTTTAGCTTATTAAGTTTTTAATTTATCTATATAATAAAGCACGATGTTAAGAATTGTACCCTAACTAAGAAGTAACCCATTAACTACTAATACTAGGCTTTAAACTCAAACCCGTAAGAAATGATACCTGATACTGTTTGTTAATGTAACTCCAACTCTCTTTTCAAGTGCACATTAACTTAGTTTGTTTTGAATTTTACACAGAGCTACACCAGGGCTATCTGCACTAGCCATCCCTAATTTAGTAGAGATAGAGTACAGAGAAGACAGCTAGTCAACATCATCTCTTGGGCTATTCTTTTAACAATCATTAGTGGGATTGACTGTCACATCATAGCATCCCCACAGCTGAAAGTACAAGCATTTTCGGTGACAGGAATTCAAATCTGTGACCACAGATTGTGAGTCAAAGTCCCTAACCACCAGGCCATGCTAGGCCTTTATATGTACAACACAACCTGGCAATCAAAGGTTGTCATCACACACTATTAGGAACTCTTCTAAAGTGCTCAAAAACATTTTTACTACTCACAGAGAAAATATTCCTAATTTGTGAAGTTCCTTATAAATAGATGGGGAAAGTTTTCTTTTAATTCTGATTTTGTTGAAAAACTTTCTAGGAAATCTTTTTGAAAGTAAAGCTTCTCCTCCTGATGAAATGTACCTTAAACATTGAAGAGGCTTTTAAAAAAGTTTGTAAGAACTTTTAACAGTTATTTTTAACTCACTTAAACACTATAGAAATAACTAATGACTGGAAATTTGTTATTGTAATCTTTATTTTCACAGAGGTAAAATAAAAAAAAATCACAGACCTGTTAATTTAACTTTTGTTGAAAGACATGCACTAGACTTTGCTGTCAGAGATCATTAGGAAAAGCAAATAAACTAGCAATCAAAAACAACATCCAATAAAGTTTTAGAAAAGTATTTTATTTACATATATATAGCTTATTATACTTCAGAAAGGGAATTTACCTAACAATAAAAGTCTAACAATTAGACTTAGGAGACTTGCTGTTATTATCTTTACATTTCCCACTGTCACTAGATCTAATGGCCTGCTTGGCACTAAATGAGCAATACTTTTGCAGACCCTTATAAGTGATTATGTTTACCCTTTCATAGTTCTTGCAAATTCATGAAAAATAATGCTATCGGAATATAAGGTAAATCAAGTCATTTTTTGTATTTTTAGGTGTCACATGTAGTTGCATTTCTTTCTTATTCACATAATTTCAAAAACTGAAAAGACAAATAAATAGCTAAAACTTCAAAAGTATCCCCCATTTGGATTCAAGTGGGTAAATGCAAATGTGAAATGTAAGATCTATAAGTAATTGTTAGACTAACAATAACATAAAAAAGTGCAAGGTGACAGAAGACTTCAGCTCATCAATGGCTTACCTTCTAAGGAAATAATGGACTAAAATATATACAGCCATCAACAAAAGTTTTAAGGAATTCACATAAACTGCACAATACATCAGCAAATCATTCTACAAATTTACAAATAACAGTAAAAAAATACTTGTTGATGAACAAGTAAACATCCAAAGTTTAAGACTATAACCCATAATATTTCTAACTTTTTTAATTATATTTATAAACATAGAAGATGAAATACTTGTCAACTGATGGGGAATGTTTAAATTTAATTAAAATAATGCAATCATATATTTCAAAGTAATAACTCAAACATAAAATTTATCTCAAAATTGTAATCTAGAGGAAGTCAAATGAGGTTATCATTCCTTTGTACACGGACATCTCTGACTAGGCCTAATTTACAGTAGTGTTTAATTAGGAACCTTCCTTTAAGAGTGATTCTGAATTGTTAGAAAGAGATTAATTAAAGGAGGGCTATAGGATGATTACTGAGATAAGACAGGCTAAATTATTCTTTTGAGAAATAAGTTAGAGGGGGTTTGGTTGAAGCATTCAAAATTATAAAAGGGAACAGACAGGACTGATGTATCATCTTTTTTCATGTGTAATGGTAAGACTAGGGGATATAGATTTAAAACTTGGCAGGATTAGAAGTCATTGGCAAATTATGCAGTTTTACTTTACAAAAGGGTAGTCAGCCTTTTGAATACACTGCCTTTAGGCATGGAAGATGCAACAAGATTGAGAGAATTTAAGAGAAGGCTTGATGAGTATTTGGGAGTTGAGGCTGGATATATTCATAGGAGCATTTGATAAAGTGAACAGGACAGCCATGACAGTCAAAGGTGCCCTTTCTTATCTCTCAAATGTTAACTTTCTTTGAAAATGTTACATTTAATCAGGCCATAGGTAATGCAATAGATCAGGTGTATTTGGACTTTCAGAAAGCTTTTGATAAGGTACTACAAGATTTCTCAAGATAACTGAATCTGAGTAGGGGATAAGCTAATTCAAGTAGGTTAGATAGTAGAACTTGAAGGTTCTTACAAATTGGGCAGAATCATTGTGGATTAATGATACAAGTGGTGTATCTCAAGAGTTCTAGGCTGTGTTCTTTATTTTATTACGCCTCAATTTAATTAATGACACTAAAACTGAATTTAACTGAATAAACTGGCAGATACTGGCATTTAATCTAACAAATTATGATAAAATTACCAATACAGCTCAAACCTATTGACGCTGGTGTATTTAAGATTAAAGTTTCATTGCAATCTACATCTATCATCTTGTAATACTCCTGCTGTTTACTACTACTTATACAATGCTTGTTTACGATTACTAATAGTAATAATACAACTTTAATAGTAATAGCACTAATAATATTGATATTATTACTAAAGAAAAAAACAAAGTCAAATTTGGTCCAGAGTAGTACTTTAAAGTTAAACTAAAAAATAAGATATTACTCTCATTTTACAGAAACAGATAATAATAAACCCTACAAGAATCACAACTAAATTTCAATTTCCAAATTACTTTGTTTTTCTTGCGTTAATTGACCGTTGACCCTCCTATTCCTACACATTTTATTTTTAGGCCTAATTTGATTAAGTTAGCACTTACCCAAGATCATTTAAAGAACCCAAAACATCATCAAAAACTGAAGCTGTATCCATTATATTATGCTTTCTATTTAGAAATGAGATAAATTTATATTATGAAAAAATGCAATCTCTATGCTTTAAATTTTACACCAATCTGTTTCACAATACAATTCATACATAAACCCCATCACTGCCTATCACTAAACAGTCAGTACTGATGCTACATTGACGAAACTGATCTTTTCTAGCAAAATTCCCCCAGACGTACAGATACGAAGATAACGTAACACTAACATCAAACTGTATATAATATTAATAATAAAATTTGCCGTCTGAAAAGTTAACACGCATAGAGGGGTCAGATTCACTGTTTTATAAAAATGGTAAAAAAATCGAATTTATTAAATTCGATTATCAGAACATGTGGCAAGCATAAATGTTGAGGGGAGGGGGAGGGAAGGTCTGGCACGCTGGCTGGTTCAAACCTCTTGTCCCAAGTTTTTGTATAAATGCCTTAACATGTATTATTATTATTATTTTTTTCAATTTCCGAAAACATGTTAATGTAAACTATGTCTTATTTTTTCCAGTCACCAGTTTATATTTTTAGTCCTTCTAATTCTTTCATTGTTTAATTGAAGTTTTAATCAACTTCTAATATATTTGATTTTTATGGTCCTTTTTTATCTATTCAATTGCCCCCTGGTGGCTGAGAGCTTAAACCGCTAAAAATCGAGTTTCGACACTCGCGGTTGGCACAGCACAGATAGCCCATTTAGTTTTGTGCTTGACAATAAACACTATTTAATTATTTTTATCTCACAAAACCACATTTGATAAAACTCTTCTAACTGTTAAATATAAAGATTTTTGTTTCACGAATTGTTGTAAGTTTCTAAATTGCATCTATTACGACAGAGGAAGTCAGGCGACGCCGGGAGGATGTGCAATGGAGTTTCTCGAAGGATCATGAATTTGCCCGCCAGCTCGAGTGTGATCTAGATGCCCTCTTTT